CAATTAGCCACAAAACATTTAGATATATATATATATATATATATATATATACATTATAATATTACAGTATAGAGAGAAAGAGAGAGAGAGAGATGACGAGGAAAAGAGGAGAGAGGAAGAGACGAGAGAGAGAGAGAGAGAGATGACAGATGAGAAGGATCGGAAGAGAGAGAGAGAGAGGAGAGAGAGAGAGAGAGAGAGAGAGAGAGAGAGAGAGAGAGAGAGAGAGAGAGAGAGAGAGAGAGAGAGAGCAGACATATAATTCACAGCAGCTGGCAGCAATTTTACAAGGTATGGACTAATGTTCATGTACCACTAGTAGCTGTGTTAAATATCACATGTAAGCACCCCGCATGTAACTTACTACGGTTTGCGGTTAACACGGGGTCCCGCCATTCGGCAATACCAACTCTTCGTACACACAGCAGCTGGATTACTGCCACATGGCAAACGGAAAGCACTAGATTAGCTCCCAGTTATTCAGTTTTTAACGAGTACTATTTAGTTCCTAACTAACACTAGTGTAATGTTGTATTATACGCACTTGCTAACTTCAAAGTCGAACGGCAAGTCATATGACGCATTCGGCAATTAATATAGAATGTAATAAACTAATAATAACATTATTGATTATCTAATTCTGGCAGTAGGTCGCTACTAAAATGAAGAGCAATACGGAACCAGCGAGGTGTTGCAGTATCCGACAATAATCACGTAATCGAGGGTTGCCCAGTGTTGTGTATTCATGCCCATGTGTTGCATGTTTACAGTCGCATACAACGCACTTGCAACGAACTGCAATTAGGAAAACCCGGAACTACGGAATCGCGTATTACGGGATGCGACAGAAAACGTAGACGGAAGTTAATTGAGGGACAACGACGTAGGGGATAGGTAAGTGCCGACTAACGGTCGTAAAATTCACATTTTATGATCTCACACGCACGTGACACATCTGCAAGAGCGTCCAGGCCGACTAAGGTCATATTGCCGTTGCCACGAGTGCATGACATTGCTGGGTGGAGATGGTTGTGTCTACTAGGCTTAACGCACCGTGAATGAGGAAACTGGCCAGTGTGTACCTCGTGGGTGTTGTTTTTTTTTTGGTAGCTGGGGGAGGGGAATGCGGGTTTTCACTCGGTGGTGCTTGCATGTAACTAGGGGAGTGGCTAGTTTTTGGCCCTGGTAGGTGTATGTTGGTAACTGGGGAGATGGGCTTGCGTTTGTACATTGTGGGGGTTTGTAACTGGAAGGAGGGGCTTATGTTTGTACCTTGTGGGGGTTTGTAACTGGAGGGAGGGGCTTATGTTTGCACCTTGTGGGGGTTTGTAACTGGAGGGAGGGGCTTATGTTTGCACCTTGTGGGCGTTTGCTTATAACTGGCGGAAATAACTGCGATGAGAATAAACATCACATTGGAGTGTATATGGAAACTTATTGTATATCGAAATTGGAGAGAATGAAATAGAACGAATAGAGGGCAATCTGTATTTCAATCGACAGCACGTTGGAGTGTATATGGACCTATTTTATATCGAAAGGGGACTGGAACGAATAGAGGGCGATCTGTATTTGAATCGTGAAGAGTGGGTGTGCGCCTCTGCGCATCTCACGAGTGTGCGTGGGGACCTCAACTCATATCCAGTCTCAGGCGACTGTTTCCGCCCGGGATTAATACCCGTGATATACATCCGTCGATATCACGGAGCGGCGTCGCGGGAGATGCGGATCACGTGACGGCAGCGATCGCGTGATCAGCACGTGATCATCCGCCATCAGACAGAGGAAATTTAAATTGTCACCATTGCATCGCACTCGCGGATTACGTACCGCGGTGTGCGCGGGGGGGAATTGCCTATTAGAGGCTGCGTGGCTGCGGGGGGAACCGGGGCAGCGAGATGAGCTATTTCGAACAGAAGCGATCGTCGCTTGACATTTGCGAGCTTGATCAGCGACAGGTAATAGCTACGATTGCCGTACGAGCGCCGCGGCGTCATTAGCTACGGCCCACGCCGCAATTATCACCCCTGCTAGCCCGAACGGTAACGATGCGGCGCACGCACACGCACGCACGCACACACACGCACACAGGCCGCTCGTCGGCGAGTGTGAGCGCACTCACGCATGCACGCACTCACGAACGCACGCACGCACGTACGCACGCACGAACAAACACACTCACGCACGCACGCACGCACGCACGCACGAACGAACGAACAAACACACTCACGCACGCACGCACACACACAGCCCTATAGCAACAACGATGAAGGGGTGGCGTGGGCATTGAAGAGCACAGACCTGTGGTGCGGACATTGATAACTGTAAACCAATGGCGACACTTCATGGTGCAATTTTCTACATGGAAATTAATCCAAGTTAGTAGGGCGGATAAGCACATGGATTGTGCACGTTTGGTTGGAATTGTGAAACTTTGCACACACGTACTACAAATAAGTCAAATATTTTCCATACTAATTTATATAACATATATACATATATATATAGTGAAATCTGCAACAAATAGAACGGTTGTGAGACCACCAGTTGGGTAACCAAATTACATTATTAGGAGATTACTGTGTTGGAAAAAAATATGGTGCTTTAAACAAGTGAATTCTAAGCATATGTGGCATAATCTTGCAGACAGAGCAGATTTTCCTCCATTCCAACAGAACATTTATAATCCGTGCTTGCGATATTATATATATATATATATATAATATATAATATATATATATTTATAATATGCACACGGTTAAGATTCCATTCCTTGATGAAACATCTTTCTTACCACGTAATAACTTGAGAAAATGAGTTGAGAAAATGAGTATGGAGTCTTTTACATCTCATACGACATTAAAAACATTACTGCCACCAAGAAGCACAGAGTGGCAGTTAAAATAGAGCACGTACGTAGATGTAAATCAATAAACAAATTCAATAAAATAGAACATATGGAAGAGGTGAGACATATATAGAGGAAAACATATAAAACATATAGAAGTATAAACACATTATTGGGTTCAGGTGTTCTTACACAACAAGCCAATACATGTAGCACACAACCTTATTTCAACACATGCATGCTATTTGATATAAGACTCTAATAAGGCTAATGGCGGTCCTGCCATCATGGGTACAAATAAAAGGCACTACATTTCCTCATATACAGAAAAATATAGTACAGTTAATATCAGAAATTTCCCCCGTAACAATTCTTTACAATGCCAAAGGCTTCGAAATATACATAGGCATAATATAAGGGGGGAGCCTGTGTAGTATAAGTATATGGGCTCGCCTGAATAGCTAGATGTTCGCACTGTATAGCAGAGCAAACAGCAGAAATATTCACGTAAATGTCATATAATCCTAATGAGATGCATAATGAGTTAATTGGATTAAATAATAGAATGTTATAATATATAAATGATTTTTTTAAACTTTTTAGACGCTTTTGTATATTCACAACCCATCAGACATTTCAGCTGTTAGCTGAAAAGACATATTGAGAGTATGCGTCTTTGTCACAATGGTTGTTCCTTCTGATTGATCAATGAATCATCGGTGTTTCAGAAAGACATGTTCGATTATTTGTTTTTAATCGCGACAATTTCACTATATAATTTCATAGTGAGTAATGTATTTCGATGCAATATGTAAAGAGCCTGAATGCAGTTTTGTGTCTGGATAACACAATGTCATGATGAAAAATGGTAGATGAGAAATACGTATTGCTAGAGACCTTTCCACAGGGGCTTGATCAACTTTGCATAATAGTCTTGTGAGATTCTTTTCTCAAGCAGCATATAATTACTCTTGTTCACACCAGGTGACAGAACGTATCACTTCAGTAAGCAATCCAGATTTTGCTTAGTGCCGTACCTAACTCGACAAAAGCCACGAATGTTTGTGGAACAGGTCAGAGTGAAAAGCACTACAGCACTTCATGATTGGGTTTTCACAACAAACGTGATACGAAACGCCGATTACCAACTCTTTTCATGTGACAGCGCATTAATCAGCACTATCCTTGGTGTCACCAACTAAATTAACAATACTTGTGATGCTGCGGTAAGGGTTAGTAATGCACGTGACACCACACGTGATCTGCATCATTACCTACGTCATACATTTTGTGAGATGAGCGTCACGGGAGAACGTAGATAGAAGGTCGTCATCGTGCCGTGCCGATTGGTGGATCTTGTGCTCTTTTTTGGCGTTACTCTTCAGATATCATCCGCAGTTTGATTTTGTTACATGCCAGACTCCACAATGCCTTCGTCATCTGCAGCAAAGACATACAGTGATGCTCACAGATTTTCTAGCATGTCTAGTAAACATGTGTAACACCATCTATGCTTTGGTAAGCTTATTACCATACTAGTCTAACGTAAGATATCTTAATATTAATCTACAATATCTTTTTTTTCTGTCAAAGAAACAAATTCCAGTCACAAATGTTTGAGTAGTCGAAACTAGAAAGGGACGTACCGTCGTAGGCCTTATTATCAAGCCCCAAGTCGTCATATTCATGGGTTGGCATATCATCTTCCCGGCCCTCCAGCACTGTCCTGAGGCTATTGTGTATACAAATGTACTGTTGCTGCAAAGATGAATAAAAAAAACATGTAAATTATGCTGAAGTGATGTCAGGGCCGTAGCAGTACCTATCATTGATAAACAAAGACAGTGCATAAATGATAGTGAATTTAATGACCTACAGGTCAATCTGCTTGCACATACCTCAGTCTGTACCATCCATACTCTTTCCTTTCGCATCTCGTAGACGTTTCCAAATATATCGACTGTATCCGACTGCTTGATAAGCTGTATTAATCTGTCTATAACTATAAATGTTCCCGATCGTCCAACTCCCGCGCTGCAAGGAAAACCAATCATGGTAACATACAGCTAGTCCAGCATCTCTTCATAACATTATCATAATCATGAACCTGGTTTAATAATGGTCAGAAACAAACATTTATACCCACAATTATATTACAAAGTTACCCAGACTATCTATTATTACAGTAGCTATGAAAACTTCACTATTTTTATGTTAAGTGTATGAATTTCTGTACCCTGCAACATCGCAACACAAAAACTTTGCTTCTTGTCTTATTAAACTATGGTTAATAAATAGGTAGAAAAATAGGTAAAAGTTTTCAGAGCTTATTCATACATTCTCATCATCTGTCATCCGTGGACGGAATGGAGGAAGCATCAATACATCATATTCACACATAATATGATCATGCCGTTAACTACGCTCTATTCTGTGTGTCATTTTCTATAGCACAAACCTGCAGTGAGCTATAATTGGGTGTGGACTGTACTGAGCTCTGTCCCTCATGGCTCTAACAAACTTGATTAGAGTTTGAGTATGTTCAGGTACACCGAAATCCGGCCAGGCGGTGAAATGAAAGTGCCGGACGACTCTAGATTCCATATCCTAAATAAAAATTGGAATATATTTATCAATAAAGAAACTATTTTACAGTGAACATATATGCGTGCATACAAATCTGACAGCAAAGAAAAAAATTGTTATCTATTTAATATTAGCAGTGGCTGCTGTATTTTTTTCTAATAGCATTCTTAATTACTTGCCTGCCAACACAATTAAGGTACACCAATCCTTTCGTTAATGATATAATTACAAACGTAAGAGAAACGACTGCAACGATTTAAGAGAAACAGGATCATTAACACATTTATAGTGTACATACCAGCGTTACTTTGAATTCCGAAATAGTCCAATACGGATATTTAGACTCATTTAGCACTGCCACTTGGATTTCGCCATAGTACGTTTGCTCGCTGTCTATAGGCCAGTAGTGGTCACATTTCTCCTGCGTATGAATTGTGATTGTTAGAACCATGCAAATATGGTACGAATTTACAGGGCCGGTTCCAGGGCTGAGGCTAGACAGTATTTTTCCAGATTTAAAGGGCACATCGCCCAAAAAGGGCACACCAACCCACAGTGAGCGCAAAATTTCAAAGGTCACTTTGAAATCTAGACCGTATTTCCCAATACGGCAAATACGGTCTGAATCCGCTCCTGCCGAAATAAAAATAACACGTGAATAATTGGCTGGAATTATATAGCAGCACAGTTTAAAAGCGGTGCTGCCACCTGTAGTCACATATCAGTGTAATATTGAGCACATATGAAGTTCTGTAGTAAGTATTAAAGGCATATTGATTATGCAATGTTGACGAATGCTAGAGTAACTGGCACCTTATGTAGTTAATAAGTACATAACCTTAAATCCAAATACGTATTAGTTTGTCCAATATCACTGCTGGTTATACTAAGAAATGTCTAATTGAAATCCGCAGTCCAAGAAATCAGTTGTTTACAGTTTCAAACCGCTGCCGGCGAAGCGGGTGTGATACAGATTTATAGTGCACCGGACATTTTCGCACGCATGCTCGGCCGTATGCAATGCTATCATCAGTGATTTCGTAAACACGGACGCTCGTGATAAGGAACTTTTTGTCAGGGCTGTCCATGTGCGTCCGTGATTAGTACGTGTGTTTTACTCCATTTCCATGTTTAGTCCGTGGCCGTGGTTACACCGCTGACACCTCGATTTCATCTGGCGTCCAAAACATATAGGCCACACAAATGTTTACGTCATCGCTTGACTCCTGGTTATGACATTTACGGCACGTAAATGAATATCAACAACCGATTTCAAGTCTTGCTTGTAATGTAACCAGCAGTGATATTGGACAAACTAACATGCGTTTGGCTATAAGGTTATGTATTTATTAACTACACAAGGTGCCAGTTACTCTAGCATTCGTCAACGTTGCATAATCAATGGGCCTAGTATGCCTTTAAGAGACAGCAACATATAAAAACTGACAAAATAGAACCGACACACTACTGTGAGTGTTCCTGCGTAACTTGGTCGACCATAAAAAGACGTACTCTGCCCTTTTCGATGCATCTCGTGAGCATGACAATAGAACGAGTGTTCTGCTCCCACACCATTCGCCAGAAGTCGTCCCGTGTGCTCGGCAGCGGGCCTTGAGTCACAATGTACTCTCTAGGAGAATTGAATCCCTAAAAATATGTATATATGTGTATATGTAAATGTAAAAATTAAAAATAAATGTAACTGTTACACAATAGCATAATATACGAATACACGTCCACTGACGTCATTTCAGTGATAACAAGATGGCCAACAAAGACAAGAAGTCTCATATCCCATATCAGGTCTCTTTTGTATTTGACCTTTTTATAAAAAATATCAACATACACTCAGGGGTAGAAATTAACTTTTAAACACGGGAGTCCAACGGACTCCCTAACCTCAAAAAGAGGGAGTCCGCAGCAAAATGATGGAGTCAGCAGTCTGAAGTTCAAAATTAAAGATATTAACAATAACGCATGTGCATATTTTGAAGATTCATGCGGTTGCATGTCTGCCAAATTTTCTTTGGACATTTGCTGAAAAACGTACAGTAATTCTGCGAAGCCGTGCTCTGGAACGAACTAGTTAGTATGGCAGAATTTTCAGGGAGTCATACAGACTCCTGCATATTTCAAATCAGGGAGTCCGACAGTAAATCAGGGAGTATTTGACTCCGGACTCGCGTTAATTTCGCACCCTGTACACTGAGTCACTGACGTATGCTAGTGATGAATGGTCACAATAAAACTAAGAGATAGCTTTCAGTTTCTATCGTTGTTCACCCTGCAGTTCACATGCTATTAATTCTACCTATTCTATGATATTCTAAAACTTACCGGCATGTAGTTGGCATTGATGTAGTCGGATCCATCCTCATCATCGACCGGTATTAGTTTCACGCGCGAATGATCATATGGAAGAATGTTGGTGAACCTGTCCGATATAAAATGATATTAGAATGGCTACGCATAAAACAAAAGAACCTGAAGAAAACAGCGATATCCAAAGAATGGTATAAATGTATATCGTGGCTGGCATGGATGTTTTATGCATGCTACGCGTGTAGTTCCCCCCCCCCATACACACATTGCATAAGATCATGTGGTATCAGATAAGGGATCTAATGGTCCAATCGAATGTGACTGCGGGGAGGACCAGACTATCAAACATTTCCTGGAATGCCCCCTATCACCAGAGCCCTGTAGACCTGGAGGCTTTTAACCACCGTGCCAGGTCATGTGTGCTGCAGTCGCTAGACCGAGTGTAGTGTAGTGACCTGAGAAGAAGAAGAAGAAGGAGAAGAAGAAGAGGAGGAAGAAGAAGAAGAAGAAGAAGACAGTGCACTGTGAGGCTTTCAACCACCGTGCCAGGTCCTGTGTGCTGCAGTGGCTAGACCGAGTGTAGTGTAGTGACCTGAGAAGAAGAAGAAGAAGAAGAAGAAGAAGAAGAAGAAGAAGAAGAAGAAGAAGAAGAAGAAGAAGAAGAAGAAGAAGAAGAAGAAGAAGACTCCGTGCCAAATCCTGTGTGCTGCAGTGGCTAGGTCGAGTGTAGTGTAGTGACCCGAGAAGAAGCAGATGAGGGATGTAAATCCTCATACAGCAGTTATAGCGCACGCGCGGGTGTCATGGCCGCCACACACCTGTTCTTGCCGCGGTTCACGGGAAGGTCAGCGGCCGTCGACGGCTGCTCCCGGCCGACCATCTTCAACGCTTCGTACTCCTCAGAGAAGCGGAAGTCTGAATCGGCTCCCATTATCTTGACGTGCTGCACAAACTCCGACAGCTTCACCGATCGACTGCACCTGATCATCGCAACAGCAAAAGAACAGATATATCTCGAGAAGTTTGACGAGGGGAAAAAAAACACAAACAATCGTCCGTACGTTTGTACAATTCACGATTGTTTGCTGTAGATGGCAAGAAGATAGAAATGAAGATAGACAAATGATGCATGAGACAAACAGAAAAGAGAACAGTGCGATTGAACAACTTTTACTTAGGACTTCGGAACCCTTCTAATCGTAAAACAATCTCAGTAGGCAAAAAGACAGTATGCTTCATGACTGTAACTCTTTTTTATGAATTCCCTTATACATATGGCTGGTTTTGGAGTAGCCTCTATTGCAATCTGAGAACTCGTTACATTGAGAAATAATCAGAGAAATGATTAAACAATGTAACGCTTTCTCAGGATTTCCCCTTTAAACATGACTGTTAAAACCATTACACTGTATTATATAACACAATTGATACAATTGCTACAATGGTATGATTGTGAGATGATTAATTCTCTAACATCGATGTAAACTGTAAAGATCTAGATTTACCATAGATGTCTCACACAGCTATTAAACATGAAAAGTAAATGTCATAGGTCAAAGTTCATGCCCTCTGTTGCCTCAGTGATCACATCACACTAACAGATGTCAACTACTCACGCGTATAGCGGCGAATTCGCCATTCCCTGCGACGCCACGTGCGTCACGAATGAACCGGATGCATTTTTGTCGTTCGCGCTGGTCTTGCGGCAGCACTGTAGGCGCCGCCGCTGTACGACGACGAGCACTAGCAGCAGGATGACAAGCAGGCTGCCGACAACTGCGCCTGCTATGATGCCGACGTAGTTACCCACTGTGAAGACAAAACCACACTCACTCTATAGCACCGGCCTGAACGCAACAAGCTGGGAAAACGATCGCGGAACGTTGTTCCACGAGGCACGGAGATCGTGCTCCCTCAAAACTTCTACCTTGGCTGGCATTTATAAATATTTCCCTTTTAAAAATTTTAAAACATTTTCACCAAAGTAAAAAGAAATGGAAACTTTATCTATGGACCAACAATGTACAATGCGTTTCTTCACGTCAACAAGTTTTAGTTTGTGTTTAGGTCACATCTGATGATTTGCTGCGAGCAATCGCCACCGAACTTAGCACTATCTCTCGTCAGATTATATCCTATATAATCATGCATGCTAAACCTAATTTTCTGCATTTTTATCATATATATCATATTAAAATTGTAAAAATATGTAAATTTACGATGGATGAACGTACATGTAGATATGGGAGAAGAGTAAGCCGTGTCAGTGTACATGTTCTCCGCAGTGAAGGCCCGGAACTTGACATAATACTCTGAAATAGAGGAGGTACAATGTGTATAATGTATAATGTATAAAAACAAGAGCTGCAGAGCGTCTGGGCTCATCTGAGGTCTGTTGCTACGGTTATAAACGTAACATTTCAGTCGTGCGTAGTGACACCTTTGTTAGGCGCCTGTGATACTATCAGCCACCCACCTGACACGCAGCTAGGGCCTGCATACCTCCCAAATCCCATTGGTTGATACAAATTACGTGCCTGAAACTCCTGTTTTATGGTGCATTGTGACCCTAACCCTAACCTATTAAAAAAAATAAAAATTTAATTGTTGTACAAATTATTTGTTGTTATTAAATTGTTGTAAATAAATCATGTAAATATTTGCGTTAATTGGAAAAATAGTTAGATGGATAAAGATAGAAAAATAATAAAAACAGAATGGGATTCGATCGCAAGACCTTTCAGCGTGACGTCCGTCGCTCTACGCGTTCGTTCATTGAGGCTTATTGGGTATTTAGATTTATGGATCGTGCAACTGAATAGACAACACATGTGTCGTCAGTGAGGGCAGTTGAAGTGAATCCATGTTTAACCTCGCTGCATGAGGGTCAACAAAGGTTGACAGACACTTACCTTCTTCGCACATCAGTGAGCAAAGCGACATTTCACATGGATCCTCTCAAAGTAAAGTGATGAAAGAATGTAAGTCAGACGCTGAAGACAGAGCCCCGGAAATAAGTTTTTCGCACTCTGTCCATTAGGCCATGTCCTCAAAAATGTCGATACTGACCTTCCACCCGGGGTCACACTGCGCTGTTGCCTCCAGCATTTCGCACGGGGTGGATGAGTATAACTCCTTTACACATCTGACCTATGACGCCTGTGACCCCCCAATTTTGTCATCCCGGAGTTCCTTTTCACGACCCCCACAAACGTCCCGATATAGTGACCGGTACGTCGAGTAGGTTAAATTTGTGCCCAACGTTGACAGAACGGACGGACGGATGCATTCTCATTCAATTCTAGCAAGCTGCCATCTGACTGTACGCCGATGAGCTAGGAAAACTGTAGTATAGTTCTATCAGACATACTGTGACGCTACGACATCTGATTACAGCAAACCTCTTGCTAAACTAACATTTCACGTATTTTAAATTTCCACATTCTAACAGTCTTCTATCACAAATCCCTACTATCAAACTATAACTTCACTATATACGTCGCAGTCGTATGCAGACGTCTCTGTATATTCTAGGTACACTGCTTACCTGTTTCTTGTATGTTGCACGTGTGTCCATTGGCATAAGAGAGGATCTGTCATGTGACAATCTTCGCTATAACACCGATTGTGAAATTAAACTCGTCAGTGTAATGAAAGGGATTGAAGTTTATTGGTGTTGCCTGGTAAGCCTTCCACAGTTTAGTATCCTTCACCTATGCATCGAAAAATATAGTGCTTAGTACTATACAATACACCATATAATGAAAGTGTTCAATGACATGTATGCTCAACCACAAAATAGGACACCAATGAGGTGGGTGAGAAGAAGTCAGTTTTTTAATTAAGCACCATCGAGCGTACCTATGAGAGCCCAACGAGAGAGTATATAAGGAGAACTCCATTATATACTCTTGATAATTATGATAAACTGTTATAATATGTGACATAAATGTTCTGGAGTGTGAAGAGGTCTGAAGATGAGGGATGGCGTTACCCTAAAGAGCGCCATTTAACCGTTTTTTATAATATTCACAGATTTAGGCACGCTGCTACCAAAGCACGAGCTCCGCATGTGTAACGTGTAAGATTGAGCAGGATAGCTTATTCGCACGTAGCTGCTATAACCGGGGACCGTGACAATGGTCTTGCCCTGCGCATGCGAAACCAAGTTTGTTCAAATGTTAATTGAGTTGATGGAAGGGTGTTAGTTTTCTACGACGGTAAGCAGACACGGTTGCCATCGGTGAAGTTCACATTGGATAATAAGTTATAGACGGCCGTAAAATGAATACAAATTAGTGTGACGGTGAGATGGGGCTATAGGCCCGCACTTGAGTTTTATGCGATGGCGGTTGAAATAATAGGTTATGCGCTCGGCGTTCCGACGATGTTTGTAAGTAACTTTACTTAATCATAGACGGTGTTTAATCGGACGGGTGGAGAGGAAAATACCGAATTTTGGCATTAAAAGATATTGTCAATTGAAATTTGTAAATACAAACGCAGTACGAGTGTGAAACCACAGACTGCTTATGTGCGTGTTCTATATAATAATATTGTCTGATAGAATTGCAAAACCTACTTAATTTTGCATAATTTGTTTTTTTAGAAGGATATCAATCCCTAGCCTTATTCATTCACATAGCAAAAATGAGCAAGAATCCCGTTGAAACCCTGAAGCTGACTAATGGCAATTCCCTATTTTTGCCAAACAAAATTGCCGTGGCTCCGAAGTACTTCGAATGGCATGCTACCAATATAGGACGCCTTCAATATGAAGCAATAGCAAGTAAAGACGCATATAACCATATTTCTCTTCCCCTATAAATCATGTGGGTCGAAACAGTGCCTGAGTTTCGTTGACCGTAAGCCGAATGTGCCGGACCGGAGGACGTACGACGGACGACGACTTATGGCAATAGCTCAGCTTGACGATGTCAAGGTGAGCTAAAAATTAAGATATCTCACATGTAAGAGAAAGATTTAAACTATTGGTATGGTAACAAATGGTACGGAAAACAAGGATATCTAATCGTATCATAAATCGTACTGAATTCGAGACGGGAGAGCATTCCTATGTGTTGACTTCCTATACGAATACCTATGTAGAGTTTTTGTAAGGGTATATACATGTTAGATTACCTGGGACCACTTGAGCAAATTTGTTCCACTGCTGTTATATGTCGGGTCTTGAGCTACTATGATGGCAAAGTTAGTAATCTTGCCATGACAGTCTGAGAACCAGCTTCTCTTCAATAGAACACTGAATGACTTAGTCGTGGTCGAGCCCTGTATTGGCATAGGTGCAGCGTTTCTGTTCTGCAATGCTGGTGCTGCAACACAGTAAGCAAACAAGACTGGTGAGGGACCAATTAATTAATATGCAATACCTCACTCATATATCATAACGCAATGAGCTTTGCATTGTGCGAGTATTGTCACTTGCTTTAATGTACGTTTATAAACTTCATTATAACTGCACTTGAGAAAAACGCTACAGACGTGGACTTAAACCATTCTATTCTATTTTATTCTGTATATCATTCTATCATATTCTATACTCAGCCAAGTAAAACTATCGATATCAAATACAAATGAATACTAGCCGGTATATGTAATTTCCTGAATTTATAGAAATGTATCAATGGTACTAGAAGTTCACCATATAAATTCTTTTCTATGAAATACCTGCAAGTTTTGTTTTTACAACAACATAGCCCTTTTCTCCAGCACGACTAGTTGTTTCTGCTTGAATCTGCAATACAGCGCAACACATGAAACATGAATCTCTCTCCACGTCTGCATGAGTGCATTTGTGTGTGTTTTTGTTAATGTTTGTGTTTGTGTGTGTGCGCGCATGAGATGTGAGTGAGTGTTTGTGTATCAATGCGTGCGTGTGCGAGTGCGTGCGTGCGTGCGTGCGTGCGTGCGTGCGTGCGTGCATGCATGCATGTCTGTGAATGTATGTATGTATATGTATATGCATGACAGTGTGTCCACATATTATGTGCATACTTGCGTATAAGCATGAGTAGGTGTGTGCGTGTGCGTGTGCGTGTGTGCATGTGTGTGTGCATTCGTACGTTCGTATGTATGTATCTGTCTATGTATGTGTGAAAATATTCCATTTCATTGGACAAGAACTGTTTACATACTGCTACAAATACTATTATTATAAAGTACATTTTACGATGTCATATTTGATCTGCAAAATAAAATACATGAACAATACGGTTTACTTACGCTGAGAGGGTCTATGTTCCCCAGGGTACTATCGGAGGGTAGCCTGGGTACGGTTCAATATATCGGAACATACCCTGGTACAATCTAATATGCCGGACCGTACCTCGCCTACTCCACTAACGAGTCTAGGGAGTCGCCTACGCCTACTCCCTAACCCTAAACCTAACCATATCATATAGTTACCAGGGTACGTTCCGATATATCAAACCATACCCAGGGTACACTCTGATAGTACCCTGGGGGACATAGACCCTATGAGCTTTACGTACAGTCACATTGTACTCTGTGGCAGGCATGAGACCTGTTACTGTTGGACTGTATGAAACATTTCCACCGGCATATTCGTGACGTCCATAGTCAGTAAAGTTGCACTACAAACGCAAAAAGCTCGTTATTATATTGTATGCAAGCATGTATGCATCAAGCATCGAAACATGAATGAGCTCAGAACCACACATGAACGCATGCATGTAAACGCATGCACGCAAACGCATGCACGCATGCAAGCAAGCATGTGCGCGTGCATACACTAATGCAGGCTCACACATTTACATGTAAGGTCGAAATTGGCAACAGCCTGTTAATCACACAATTCTACAATAAAGTAAAAAAAAGAATTCTGAAAGATTTCACAATAACACGACCATCACCCCTAGTCCCTCCTAGCTGCCATGTAAATATCTCCCGATTCACCGAAATGAAATTGCAATTAAAAATAATACGGAAAAACCCCATGGTCTGATTCAAAAAAAAAATAGTAGGAACGATGAAAAGTTGTGGTCAGTTATGAACTTACAGCACTGAAGCCATTGTAGGTGATGGTATAGCCAGATATGATGCCGTTTGTGTTGAGAGGGGCTTCCCAGTTCAACGTTATATCTGTTGCCTTCGTGTTGCTGATGCGAAACATCTGAACAGCATCTGGAGCTGGAAAAGCAAAGGGGACGTTTACCGGTCTGTAGTGACAGTTCTAAGACGACTGTTCTGATGTTATGGATGTTATTATAATGTTATTTATAATGCATGTATTTATTATGTTATTTAGCATTGCACTGTAGTTTTTCATGTCCAAGTGGACATGAGAAACTACAGTGCAATGCTATCAATACGATAATTTCCTCGTTTATTATCAGTCTAAACCGTCACGTTTCGACTATACGACTATTATCACTTTATTATTAGCGATTTCTGCTCTAGATCCACATGTTGTGAAGATAAAATTCCGCTATGTGCAAGAAGAATATCAGGAACAAGGCCAGAGAAACGTGCATTCCATTAATATAGTCAAATATTGTGAATCACGGCAGTAAACGTAAACATGCAGACATAATGAAATCACTTACAGCCTTCCTTGGTTTTTAACTTGAAACTGATGCCTTCACTCCTCTGCTGCCAGCTCCTCACATACAGAGCAAATTCATAACTTTGGAATGGTTTCAAGTTGGTGATCTAATAGAAAAATAGCAAAGCTATTTTGAGGGCAAAGCCAGGAGAGGAGGGGGTCAGATTTAGCAAGACACTGCCATCAACAAATACAAAACATTAGTGAATCAGAATCCTGGAAAATTTCTGCCGTGGGTACTGCAATCCGCCCATTAATTCATCTATTTCTACAATAGTAGTTGTGTTCAACAATCATACATACACACCCAAAGTCTGTGCAATGCATCACCATGGATTGCATTGCATCCAATGATTGATGGATTGCATGGTTTGCAATTGGATGGATTGGCAATTGGTTGGATTGCGATTGGCAATTGGTGGGATTGGCAATTGGGATTGGATGGATTGGATGGATTAGCAATTGGTTGGATGGATTGATGGATTGCAATGGTTGATGGATTGCATGCATCACCATGGTTCAGGATCCGATGATCCAAACTGGTCCTACCGATCCGACCAATGAGGATTCGATCCAACAGAAGCTGAGGCACAAGTAAATAACCGTGGGTGCTAATGAACGGGTACCCACATGTCTTCAATTTCAGACACAGGTGTATTCGTTTGACCAATATACGTAAATACACGTAGTGCCGTCTGCTTTCCATGTTTAGTCTGTGTCCGTGGTTAGTCCGCGATCCTCCCATAGCGTTGGCCCCCAACACAGCCTACTTCATTATCACGAGAGTCAGTGATTCGTCTGTGGATTCCACGTTCATTACAATCAGAGCTACTGTTACGTATACAGTTACGGTACTGTACTATCGCTAGCATTGCATACGGCCGAGCGAAAATGCATGCGTGCGTGCGTTTTTGCATGCGTGAGAAAATGTCCGGTGGACTATAAATCTGTATCACACCCGTTTCGAAGTATGCGGTTTCGAAACTGTAAACAAGTCAGTCAACTGATTTCGTGGACTGCGGATTTCAATTAGACATTTCTTAGTAACCAGCAGTGATATTGGACAAACTAATACGCGTTTGGCTATAAGGTAATGTACTTATTATCTACACAAGGTGCCAGTTACTCTAGCATTCGTTAAAATTGCATAATCGATGGGCCTATTATGCCTTTAAAAAAAAAAAAAATTATTGTTGTAAAAATTACTTGTTGTTATTAAATTGTTGTTATTCAATTGTTGTAAATAAATCATGTAAATATTTGCGTTAATTGGAAAAAATAGTTAAATGGATAAAGATAGAAAAATAATTAAAAAACAGATGGGATTCGATCCAACGACCTTTCAGCCGTGACGCTCGTGCTCTACGCGTTCGGTTATTGAGGCTTATTGGGTTTATAGATTATGGATGTGCCATGAATATGACAACACTGTGTCGTCATTGAGGCAGTTGAAGAATCCATGTTTAACCCTCCTCATGAGGGTCAAAAGGTTATCAGACACTTACTCTTCGCACGTCAGTAGAAAGCACATTTCATGGTCCTTTCAATAAAGTGATAAAAATGGTAGGTCAGCGCTGAAACAAATAAGTTTTTCACTCTGTCC